TTTTAATAACAATCATCTTTTTAAAAATTTAAATGTCTTCATTGCTTTTTAATCCCTGATTATGAAAATGTTTATAAGCTAATTTTAATTGGTATAAAATTGGTATAAAATGTTTTGATTTGCACAGTTTTTATTACTGTATTTAGTTGTGATCTATACTTTGTGACTATATTTCGCTTTGTCTTTGTGTGTTTGTTTTAATGAATTCATAAGAGAACGTTATACATTAGTGGTATTACTGCTTTATCATACCTTGGCAAATGTTACAAATGTCTTTTAATTTTTTTTGCAAGTCTGTTCCTGTAATCTTTATTTTATTCCGTTAATATATGTCTGTCCTCACCCCAGAACCACAGTCTTTTTTTCTTTTTTTTCTTTTTAAATTGAAGTGTAGTTGATTTGCAGTGTGAGTTTCAGGTGTACAGCAGAGAGATTTAGTTGTTCATATACTTACGTGTATTTTTTTCAGATTCTTTTCCATTATGTGTTATTACAAGAAATTGAATATAGTTCCCTGTGCTATACAGTAGGTCCTTGTTGTTTATTTTTTATATAGTAATGTGTATCTGCTAATCCCAAACTCCTAATTTATCCCTCCCCTGCCCTTTCCCCTTTGGTAACTATAGTTTGTTTTCTATGTCCATGAGTGTATTTTTGGTTTGTAAATAAGATTTGTATCACCTTTTTTTTTTAGATTTTACATATAAGCGACATCGTATGATATTTTTCTTTCTCTGACTTACTTCACTTAGTATGATAATCTCTAGGTCCATCGTGTCTTTGTACATTTCTTTTTTTTTTAAATTATTTATTTATTTACTTATTTTTTTGTTGGGGGAGGTAATTAGATTTATGTATTTATTTATTTAGAGGAGGTCCTGAGGATTGAACCCAGGACCTTGTGGATGCCAAGCAAGCACTTTACCTCTTGAGCTATACCCTCCCCCACCTTTGTACATTTCTGATATTTGTTTATGTTTCCTTTTTAAAATGATCAGCCTCGCCAGAAGTTTACATATCTTACTGGCCTTTGGAGAGCCATTAGATTCTTAGATTCATTATAGATACGGCTGCCTTTTGTTTTCTCATCAGCTGTTTCTGTCTTTATCTCTGCTAATTCCCTTTTCTTGTCTTTTATTTAGATTTTATTTTCTAGCTTCTTGGATTGAAACCTTTATTTTCTTTCTTACTTAACAAAAGTATTTATAGAAGCATGATATTTTCTGTTAATAGCTATTGTTTTCATTGGTACTCATTAATCTTCAAATCTGTTAATTATGACTTTTTTCCTCACAGAAACAATTGTTTTTATACTCATCAGATTACATATTAATGATGTTTAAAGTATGTACCCACCATAAGAAGTACAGCTAGCATAAACAGATTGGAAAGAAACGTCATTGTGATTTTGACTTTTTCTCCCCTTGACTCTGGCGTTATTTAGGAGGCTTACTTAGGACCTGCAGATGTGTTCCTTTTGGTCAGAGAGGGCTGTGCTTCCTGTCAGCGCGGGTTGTGGTCCTGTGCTCCACGTGGGCCCGCATGTTCTGTTGGAGCCGGTGCGTGTGTGTCGCGGAAGCTTCGGGTTAGCCCTCTGCGGGCTGCTCTGTGTGTGTGGAGGGAGGGGGTCTGGGAGAGGGTGGGGGCCCCTGTTCTGAGTCTCCTGCTCCTCCAGCCAGCCAGCCCGACACTGCCCACTGCCCGGGTATCCCCTTTCTTACTTGCTTTCTGCTCTGCGGTTCCCATCCATTGCCTGGGGTGGTGACTGGGGCTCACTGTCCCTCAGCGGTGGGGAGAGCTGGAGTCTGGGGCGAGGGGGACCTAGGGCCGAGACCCTGAGTTCTAGAGCCCTCCTGCTGCCGAGCAGCCGGGCTCGCCGGTTTCCTGTTCCTGGTCTGTAAATTGAGGATGATGTTACCTTTTCACAGAAACTGGAAGAGTCTTGCAGATCATCTAATAACACAACTCTTCTAAAAAATATTTTTATTTTGGCGCAATTTCAGAGTTTCAGAAAAGTTGCAAGAATAAGTACAAAGAATTCTCTTCGCTCAGACTCTCCAGATGTTAACATGTTGCTACATTTGCCTTACTCTTTTCTATCTCTTTCTCTATAATTTTTATTTGAACCATTTGAAAGTAAGTAGCAAATGTGATACCTTTTATTTCTAAATATTGAGTGTGGAGTTTCTAAAATCACATAAATAACCACAGTGCAGTGACCAAAATCAGGAAATTAACACGGATGCAACACTAGTTACTGACTTAATCTACAGACCTCGTGAGCACTAATAACATGAATCTACAGACCTTATTCAAATTTTGCCAATTGACACAACCTCTTTTGTAGGAGAAAAACCCCTAGATCACCTGTATTCATTGGTCAGGTTTTTTTAGTCTTCTTTAATCTGGAGCAGATCCTCAGTTTTTCCTGACATTAAAAAAGAAATTATTTTGAGCAGGTAAGGAATAGTGAGACCCAGATAGATAAAGTGACTTGTCCAGTACAAGTCTTAGAAGAGCTGGGACTGGGAATCTGGTCCCTCTGCTCAGGTGCTCTCCTGGTCACATGCTCCTCCAGCTCCCAGTGAACACTTAGCTCCTGGGTCTTTATCATCAGCCAGCTCCTCAGGCAGAGAGGTGGGGCAGGGCCCAGTTCTCCAGGGAACTCCTCCTGTTTTCCTTTGCCCCTCTGTCCGCAGTGCCAGGCCGCAGCACCCTTCCCCTAGCTGGTTTGGCGTCAGCCAGGGATCAAGGCCAGAGCTGGTGGGAGAGAGGGATTTTAAAACTGGTCCAGCCAGCATCACCTCGGGGCAAGTTACTTAACCACCTGGGCTTCAGTTTTCTCTTGCGTAAAGTAAAGGGTTATGAGGATGGAGAAATTAAAGCTCTTAGAACATGCCTGAAACATAGAAAGCATTATATATATTAGCATTTCTCCAGCCTCTGAGTCAAGTAGGAAAAAAATAGGGGCAAGTATCTGAATAACTCACACTGAAACACTCTGATAACTGAAGCCAAATAAAAATATGCTTCTGTTTCTAACCAAACAAAAGAGCTGGTCTAGCCACTGCCACTCCCTCTTGAGAACGGCCTTGGGTAGGGTGTGGCTGGCGCTTTCTGCGGAATGACACCTCGGGTTGGGGGTGTGGGAATTCACCCCTCTTGGCCACTTCGGGGTTAGTGGCCTGCCAAAGTGGGAGCCTTGGCTATGTCCTGAGGCCGAGGCCGGGCCAGAGCTGGCGGGTCCCCTGCCCACCTGCCCCTGTCCTTGGGTGGAGGCTGTGCAGTGGTCATTTGCATTACAAGGGGGACACGGCACAGGTAACTGACTGTGAGGTTCTCTCGCAGCCCCTCTTACACTGTGGGTGTTAAACACTTGATTCTTGTTTTTTTCAACAAAATTTAACTTTTTAAGGGCATGCTAATTGCTTAATACACATTCTTGATCTTATTTGTTTTTATTTCACTGACTCTTTTGCGAACTCCCCTCTCCAACTTTTTTCTTTTAAATAATAAGGATCTTCTGAACCAGCCTACATTTCATGGGTTTATGTCAGTGGTTCTCAGTTTTGGGGATCTCAGCATGCACTGTCAGAGCTCATGGCCACACCCGCTTGCCGCTCCTCTCGGAAGTGACAACCCTGCTCTACTAAGGGGTCCTTCCCTTCAAAACTTGGCAGCGGATCGAGGGGGGGTGGTCTCCCCCTCTAGGCCACCACCAGCTTCCCCGAGATGAGGCCTCCCTTGTTTTCACTTTCGTTTGTAACCCAGTGAGGAAGTAAAAGGAGTCATCAGTGCTTGTGTGAGGGATGTACAAAGAAGAGTGTTTTCATGTTCCTGTCGTTCCTCTGTCCCTTTATCTCCTTCGGGGAGAGGGTCACCAGCTCAGCCCTTCCCTCCTGGAGCAAATGTTCATTTTCTGCTCTTGTTTTAAAGCTTTTTATAGAGATAGAAACGAAAGTTTTCTCTAAAGGTTTTTTTTTTAATTACAGTTTTATTGAGATATAATTTACATAACATACAATTTATCCAATTTCTCCACTTAAAGTGTACAATTCAGTGGTTTTAGTATATTCACAGAGTTGTCCAGTCATCACCACTGTCTGTTTAAGAATATTTCCATCACCCTGAAAAGAAACTCTACCCACTAGCTTTCACTACCTTTTTACTTCCTCCACTCCCCTCAGTCTTAGGCAACCACTAATGTTTTTGTCTCTATGGATTTGCCTGATCTGGACGTTTCACATAAATAGAGTCATATAATACGTGGCCTTTCGTATCTGGCTTCTCTCACTGAACATAATGTTTTCAGGGTTCATCCGTGTTGTAGCATGTGTCAGTATTTCGTTCCTTTTAATGGCTGCATAATATTTCTCTGTAAAGGCAGACTAGAGACGTTCCTCCTAAGTTGTCACCCAGATGAGATGGAACCCTCGTGCTCATGTGAGTGAAATCCTGCCTCTTGGTTATCAAGGTGGTTACCTGCAGCCTGTGGGGTTGGGAGAGTCCATCCCTTCAGCCGACCAGAGTCCTGGCTTAGTGCCAAGTTTTCCATCCCCGCCCTTGGAGGAATCACAAGCCTGGACAGAGGTGACATGAAGAGGGAAAAAACTACCCTACAGTTACTGCGTGTCTTGAGAACCTAGCAAAACGTGAGAGTGCTAGACCTTCAACCTCGGGGGCCGTACATATGCGCAGATGCATACCAGGGACCGTAGAAAGCTTTGGAAGAAATGAAATTCTTGAAGTAGGTTAACACTATAGGAAAATACTTGTGATACGGCAAGAGGAGAAATTATTATTTTAAAAAAACGAATATACTCAGCGACCCCAATTTTGTAAATTAAGTGCATGTTGCGTAGGGGAGAGGAACTGTCATCCTTCCCAGGTGTTAACTGCGGTCATCTCGGGGAAGTGGGAGTTTCTTGCTTTCACCTCTTCATCCTCTGCTTTGCATGACAGACCTTCCTGTTCCTCCATCTCTCTGCATCTTCTGCTGAAACTGTTCTTTACCTTCCTTCTCATTCTCTTCTTAATGACCTTCCTGTATTCTCTTTGGTCATCCACCAGGGTTCCCCTGGCTCTATAATGAGTTTTAGTATGCCTTTGATACTCTATCAGTAATTACACAAAGGGCATCTTCACTTAGAGATAAGCTTACAGTTAATATCATTTTTCGTCGCTTTCATTGCATACTCAAAGCTGGAGTACAGATTTATGCTGCCACACACGTTGTAGAGATAGTGGTACACTGCCCTAAAGGAACGTACCTTTGAATGGGACACAAGACAAATCCAAACCTCTAAAAAGTCTCTGTCCATGAGGCAGGGACCGCTTCCTCACTGCTGTGTCCCCAGTGCCTGAAATGACACTCACATAGTAAATGCTCAATACGTATTTGTTGGGGGGGAAATAAATGAATACATAATTATATATATGCAAATATATATATGGTTGTTAAAATGTACTGGTAGCATCTATAGGTGAAGCTCCATAATTCTTTGGGGCTGCTACAGCTATTTTCACTTATTTAAAGAACTACCTTCCCTCTCTTATCATTTGCATGCATATGGTACATAGTTGTAATCATAAATTCATGCAGTATGGTATTCCCCAACTTTTACTTCCCACTTTACCCAGTTTTTTTCCTTGGTGTTCATAATCTAAGGGTCTTGATGACTCTAATATCCCACTGAGTTGTATCGTAATTTACTAAGCTGCTCCCCTCACCCTGAGTTCTCAGTTTTTGCTAATGTGTAGAAAAGATTTTCTGAAGTGCAGGTTTATAAACCTAAATTCCTAGGAGCGGCACTGTCAGATGGAAGGGTCTTTTTTGCCCTTGACACGCTTACCTATTTGTTTACCTACGTGTTTACTGTTATCACTTAAACCAGAAGAGAAGATTGAAGTAGCGAATTAGAAGGCGCCCTGGCCTGGGAGCTGGGGGCTGGGGTTCCCGCAGGGCTCAGTGCATTGACTGATCCCCAGCTTGGTGTGCTGGGGTGAAAGCTGGGCTGGCCAGTCAGGGCGCCCCCTCCAGCTGTCCCCGTGAGAGGTAAGTGACGGGAAACTGAGAGAAGGCAGATCTGCAATACTGTGCAGAGGAGCCGTTGACAGGACCAGGGTCTGCTTGCACATGGAAACATAAAGAGGAGGGCGTCAAAGCTGACGGAAGGTGTGAGCCAGGATACCCAGGAGAATGACTCTTCACGTGGCTTTTGAAAAAAGGAACGTCCAGAGGAGGAGTTGCTGGAAAAGGACAGGTGCCGAGTTAGGTTTTAAGTGTGTTGGATTGAAGTCGCATCCAAGTAGAAACGTGTGCTAGTTGGAGAGCAGGCTGGGAGCTTGTGGTACAGTCCAGGAGAAAGGACGCTTCTGGGTTATTCGTGCCAGCTGAGCAGTGGAGCCTTGGGGTAGGTGAGGTTTCCAGGAGAGCTGAGAGGGTGAGGTTGGAAGGGTGGAGAGCAGCTCTGTGGAGGGGACGGAGGAGGACCAGGATCCAGCAGCATCACCAAAATCGAGGGAGGGAGGTGTGGGGATGGGCGGCAGAGTTGGGGGTCTCCTTCAGGGAGGGAGGAGGATTCTCACTGCCTTTGCCCTCACCTCTGACCCCAGGGAGGAGAAATGGCTAAGCAGGGATCAAGGCTCCTGTTCCCTTTTTTTCCAACACTGAGGGCAGGACTTTCAGATGAACATGTACAAGAGCCCAAATTACTGGCATCTTTCAGTTAATCGGGGCTAACAGACCTGTAGTGACTGCAGATACTGAGAGTTCACACTGAGATGCACGGTGTGATTTTCCCAGGGAGTTAGGCTGAGGAGAACTTGTTTTCACTCCCCAGTTTCCTGCCTTGTGGACACCACCAGACTTCCCTAAATGTCAGCTTCCCCCTTTTTCCATTTCCTAGCCCACTGTGTGAAGTCGGTCTTATGACTGATGGGTGGAGGCCCCTCTGCCAAAAACTACTTTTCCTCCAGCTTTTTGGGTAGTGGCTTAAAGATTCATTTCTTTGAATGCAAAAAACTTAAGTCCTCTCGAGTCTTTGAAAAAGGAATGGATGGGGACAAACTCACTTAGCAGGGCTTCAAGTAAGAGGCTGAAATCCATAGTTATTGGGACTCTCCTGCACATGTGGGATCTCATTGTCTGAAAGACTAGAACCCCGGCAGCTAGGAGGCCATGGGCATCCACTGCCTGCTCCGATGTTAGACTTGGCCTTTGCCACTCACCAGTTCTGAACATTTGGAGTATGTTAGTTAACCTCTCTGTGCCTCATTTGTTCATCCACTAAAATGGATATTGGGTTGCTGGAAGGCTGGAAGAGGTTGTCTAAAGATGAAAGCACTTTCTTAATCCAGAGGTTAGCACTCAGCACCCAAAACTGTTAGCTGCTGTCTCATCACCATGTACCCTAGCGCTGGTGCTTTTGACCCACTGCACTGCCAGTAGGTTTTGTGGAGTTTGGGGCACCTTTGGGGAAAGTGCATGGGGCTCTTAGTCAAGGATTGGCTCTCTGTCAATGGTCTGTGGTGTTGGCCAAGTTTCTTACTTCCTTCACTTTTTAAACTTTGGGGGTAGGAGGTGGGTGGTGAGAACTGGGTGTGAGCAGCTGGGTGGGTGGAGCTATGGGCTGGCCCGGCCTGGCTGGGGATTGATGGGGGCTCTTCTGGCCGTGGGGCCGTGGGACGTGCACTGCGTGGCTTGGGCCATGGCCCCAGTGGCTGTGGGGCTGAGTGTGGGGTGTGCTCTGTGTGTGTGTGTGTGTGTTGTGTGCTCTGTGTGTGTGTGTGTGTGTGTTGGGGGGGGCGGGCCCTCTTGCTGTCTGGCTGAGGAGCCGCCTCTGCGTCCTGACCTGGTTCTCGCGTGCTGGCGGCCTCCGAGGCAGCTGCTGCTCCTTTCGCCAGGCCTCAGATGTGGTCGGCTCCATTTCCTCCCGCTGGCCTCTGGCCGTGCCGCCGCGGCGGCTGGAGGCCCGCGCTCGGCCTGGGGCTGGCTCCGCCCCGCCCCGCCCCGCCGCGCTGGCTCCGCCCCTGGCCCCGCCTCACCCCTGCGCTCCCGGGAGGGGAGGGGGTAGGAAGTAGCGGCTGGGGGAGAGTGCTGCCCGGCCAAGTCGTGGTGCTGTGCTGGGGGCTTATAGTCCCGAGCACAGCACAGCGAGTTACAGGGAACTTAAGACTCAGCACCCCACCTCAATCTGACCCCGTCTCCCCACCTCCCCACCCCTCTGTAGAGTACTGCCCATCTTTTAGGATTTTTCTTACTTTCTGTGTATGTGTTGTGTGACGTGTGTGTGATGTAAAACAACTCTCTAGCAACAGAAATAGCAAGAAAATACACCCATGAATTCCTCTCCTTGAGGCCCCCCTCTGGTCTTTGCCCAGAGACATGCGTAGTTTGTGCAAACTTTCAGGTGTATTGTAGGTCCTTTGTTCTTAAACTTACCCCCCTAAATAAAAATGAAATACGTACAATAAATTCTGGAGACCCAGCAAGAAAATATACCCATTCTTTGCCACCCAGAGATGAGCACTGTTAACATTTCTGCATGTTTCCCCTTGGTGTTTTGTGTGTATGCACAGATGTTGATTGTTAATGGAACTGTATTCTTAAAGTGGGCAAAATTTCGAATGCTATTTTTTTCTACTTCAAATAGTGTAAACACTACCCTGTCATGAATATCCTTAGAAAGTATCTCTTAGTATAAGTACATTCTTGAGTTTCATTTTTTCACTGAAGACATTTCCCTGTGTTTTTCTATGTTCTATTCTTTATCGTTTTCATCAATAATATATCTACTGATAGAATATTACATTTTACAATTTTCTTACATATTGTTTGAAACATGTACTTAACATAAACAGAGAAAGCGTAATCATAAGCACATGTGAGCTCCCTCCCTACATTAAGAACTAGACTATCGCTGACGTTGCTGAAACTCCCTGGGTGCCCCCTAAGCTCATCCCCTTTCTTCACCTCCCGAGGCAAGTGGTACCTTGACTTTTGTGTTTTTCATTCCCTTGCTTTTTAAAAGTTTTAATTTCATATGTTTACATTCTTATACATTCACATATGCTTTTTTTGTTTGAGCTGTAGAGCTAGTAGACTATATGCAGTCTTTCCAGGTTTGCTTTTTTTTAACTTGATGTTGTTTCTGAGACTCATTCATGTTCCTGTGGTTCATTCATTTGCACTGCTGTGTAATATTCCATTGTCCATTCTGTGGATGGTGGGCACTTAGACTATTTCCACAGTTTGGTTTTTATAAGTAATGCTGCTGTGAACACTTGTGTACACGTCTCCGGATGGGCATGAGCTGAGTTTCTCGAGGAGCGGAATTACAGGGTCATAGGGTATGTGCACGTTTAACATTGAAAGATGGCACCACAGACCTTTCCAAAATAGTTGTCCTGTTTTGTCCTCTGCCAGTGATGTATGAGAAAGAAGTTCCTGCTAAATTCCACCAGCACTTGGTACCTAACTAAAATACCCTTTCCTGGGGCTTTCTGTGGACCTGGTACATAGTTGTGTCTTTCACATGTTAAGTTGTTTAATCCTCTTCACAACCCTGTGCATTTAGGTATTGTTATTAACCCTTGATTTACAGATGAAATAGGCACAGAGGGGTCAACTTTTTTTTTAAACACCTTTATATGGTATTGTTCCTGTACAGTAAACTGCACATATTTCAGATGAACAATTTGGTAAATTTTGATAGATGAATACACCCATGACACCACTACCAGAATCAAGATAGCTAACATTTCCATCACTCCCCAGGAGGTGCAAATTTCAAATTCTCCATTTATCCCTTCCCACCCCCTTTAACTCCTGGTAACTGTAAGTTTGTTCTCTATGTCTGTGAGTCTGCATCTGTTTTGTAGATAAGTTCATTTGTGTCCTATTTTTTAAGATTCCACATGTAAGTGATATCATATGGCATTTTTCTTTTTCTTTCTGGCTCACTTCACTTTGAATGATGATCTCTAGGTCCATCCATGTTCCTGCAAATGGCATTGTTTTATTCTTTTTTTTACTGCTGAGTTGTATTCCATTGCATGTATATACCACATCTTCTTTATCCAGTCATCTATCAATGGAATATTTGGGTTGTTTCCATATCGTGGCTATTGTAAATAGTGCTGCTGTGAACACTGGGGTACATGTGTCTTTTTGAGTTATATTTTTCTCTGGATGTATGCCCAGGAGTGAGATTGCTGGGTCATATGGTAATTCTATCTTTAGTTTTTTAAGGAACCTCCATACTGTCCTCCATAGTGGCTGCACCAATTTACATTCCCACCAGCAGTGTAGGAGGGTTCCTTTTTCTCCACACCCTCTCCAGCATTTATCATTTGTAGACCTTTTAATGATGGCCATTCTGACTGGTATGAGGTGATAGTTCATTGTAGTTTTGATTTGCATTCAGAGAGGTCAACTTTTAAACCCCAGATTTATAGATTTAAAAATGGGGAACGGAGAGATTAACTTGTTCTGGATCACACAGCTAGTTAGTGGTGGGAGCAAGATTTGAACTAAGCATCTTTGTTCTTAAATTCTATGTAATGGATATAAAATGGAATCTCACAGCAGTCTTTTCCTATGTTTCTCTGTTTACTAAAAAAGTCGAGTATTTTTTTTACCTATGTTTGTTCTCCATTCTCTTTTCATGAAAAGAAACATTTTAAAACCATTCCCCTATTGTTGGGGCACTTAGGTTGTTTGTAGTCCTTTTTTTTTTCTCCTTAATGGAGGCACTGGGGATTGTACCAAGGACCTCGTGCATGCCAAACATGTGCTCTACCGCTGACCCGTACTTCCTGTAATTCTTTACTATTAATGTTCCAAGGAAAATCCTTGGCATATATAAATTAAAATTTTCTTCTATTGTCTTATTTATTTTATTTGCATTTCCTTAAGTGAAATTGAATACTTAGTGGTTAAAAATAGCTGTGTTCTTCTGGATTGCTGTGTGGTATTGGAAAAGTTACTTAACCTCTCTGTGTTCAGCGTCCTCATCTATGGAGGTGAGTCTCTACATTATAGGATTTATGATGACTGGAGGAGATTAATGAGTGTGCAGTGATTAGCATGATAGTCAGTCTATCTTAAGAATGTTCCATCAGAGCTAGGCAGAGACTTTTCCTAGTTTCTCCCTTTCTTTTCCTTTTTCCCCCGAAACCACATTAATTATGATCAGATCAAGGGCCTGAGCAATCACAGTCCCATGTTTCTGCCAGATACGATGGCCTCAGGGAATTAGACCTTGTTTCAGCTTTTTCCTGAGCATCAACCCACCCATTGAGAAATATGCTGTATCTGTCTATTTTGTAGTAGGAGAAAATTAGATTTTAAAATGTTTTACTGATATGTACACGGTAACCACAAGAAACATTACTTTCCCCCGCCTCACACAGGGACACCCACTCTTACACCTGACAGTCTCTAGAGGGTTAGATATAACCCTCTGAGATTTGCTGTCTGCAGAGAGAGCTCAGATGTGGAGAGTGCAGACACGGGACTGGATTAGTCATGTACACACACACACACACACACACACTCTCTCACACCTCTGCAAAAACAGGCAGCTGTGTACCTCCTCAGAGTCTCTTTCCCCACTTAAAGATTTGTATCATCAGTAAACCCCAGAAGTGGAGAAGTCTCTTAAGAGGTGAATAATTGATCACACTGGATGGAACATGCCGCAAATACAGCCCATGTGCTATTAGAGGGAGCAGGGCCATCCCCTCGGGGGAGAGAAGGAAGGAGTTGACTTTGTGTGCGGCGGCGGTGGCTGTGAACTCTACCGACTAGGGAGAAGGATGGAGCTGGAAAGCAGCCCTTGAGTTGGTTTCCCAGAGGGCAGCTGGGGAAGTGCGGGGCTGAGATTTGCTGGTCAGCTGGGTGGGGAGCAGCCACCCCTATCCTGCGGTCCCAGGAGAATTCACTCTTGGAGATTCCACCCTAGAGGATGTGCCCCAGACTGGCCCTGCCTCCTGGCCACTGGCCCTTGTGGAGGCTGCCTGCAGGCTTGCTCGCCCCGGGGATAGACCTTCCTGGGCGTGTGTCTCTTCTAATGGCCTGTGACTGCGGAGCGGCAGCGGCCCTGGGACTCTGCCTCTGCTAACACCACGTTTCCTAGAGGACCTAAGAAGGCCGGGCAGTGAGGACTCTGATCTCTCACGATGACAGTCTTTGTCTTCCACCCTTTCTCCTGTTTCCCTTTAGTAGAGGCTGACTGACCACTGACCTGGTTTTGATGTGTTGATGCTCTGAGAGTCAGGAAAGGCTCGGAAGACCTGGTGTCATTTCCACACCTTTCACTGTGTTATGAATAAAATGAGGTGTCCGGGGGTGGGCTTCCACCCTCCTGTCAGGGGCTCTGGAGCCCCTGGGGAGGGGAGGGCAGGCTGTTGTTGAATACCTGCGGACGTCTGAGGGACCAGGTGTGGGACGGGAGCACAGAAAGGAGTCAGCGGTAGAGGAGGAGGCACGTGGACCTTGGGAGCCCTGACCAAGCAGGGTACAGGGACACGCGGGCCCCTGGAGGGAGACCTGGCGTCTTCTGCAGGTGAGAGTGTGACCGGGGGTGGTGATGCTGTGCATACACTCCAGCCCTTCATCACGGAGGTGAGGAGCGGGTCTCTTGGCGCTGAGAAGGGCATTTATTCTTCCAGTAACAAACCCCTGCTGCCCACTCCCCAGTGAGGGGGTGCGCCCCCAGCCTGTCCAGGCCAAGCCTGGGATGGGCTGGAGACTTCCCAGTGATACTGTGGCAGGGAAGAGACCTGGTAAGCCCGGATGTGTGGGGCCCAGTGAGGGCAGGGAGGGGTTTTGTGCTGGGAACATGGCTCTGAGAAGGGGCCGCACCGACACCTTCGGTGGGCCTCGCTGTGGAGACAGATGGGGGCAGGCTGTTCCAAGAGCCCACACCAGGCTCCCGAGTCTTCTATGGCACAGGCATTCCCGAGGGCCCGGGCAGCTCTGCGGCCCTCTTCCGTG